GATGGTCGGTAGCTCAGAGGAGAGGAAGAAGGGAAGCCAGGCGGCAAAGTCGTCCAGGAAGCGGGATATGGATCCAGGAAGCCGATAGATTACTGCAATCCTCAGAGGGGTGGGAGAGAAGAGGCGGATGCAGTGGGCCTTGAAGGAGGAGAAGGATAGGGAGGGGGGTTAGGGAGGACTTGGAAGGTGCTCAGCGGCGACAGGAGCATGCCGACCCCATCACCTCTGCGACCGCTCGGTTTGGTGAGTGGGTCCAGACGAGGCCTCCATAGGTGAGTGCTGCGGGGGAGGTGGAGTCAGTGGCTTGGATCCAGGTTTCAGTGACCGCTAGGAGGTTGAGGGAGTGGGAGACAAAGTGGTCATGGATGGCAATGAGTTTGTTGCCAACAGAACGGGCGTTCTGGAGTGCAACCGAGACAGGAGGGGGGTGGATGCGGGGAGGAGGCGGACGGGTATAAGGTTGAGGGGTTTGCGGCGGCCGGCGGGAGCAGGAGGGTGCCTAGAGGGGGTGTGGGGAGGTGGGGGGCCAGGGTTCAGGGAGATGTGCCCGGCAGTTAGGAGAAGGGTGAGGAAGGTGGCATGGGAACGGGATGTGCAGGAGCTTTTGGATCTGTTAGTTGTGGCGTGTGGGTCGGCGGGAGAGTGGAGTATCAGGAGGAGGTGGTGAGAGCCGTAGTGGGGGGAAGGAAGAAGTGAATGAGCAATGTAGAGCTGTTTTGGGGGAGTAGGTAGGGGGGGTAGAGGGAGGCGATTTTGGAAAAGGAGGGAGAGGAATACGAGGAGTGCAGGTGACATGTTAGGAAGAGCGGAGTGCTGATCAAATCGGGGGGAGGTGAGAGGTTTCACATCAGGGCGGGATGATGCGGAAGTCTGTCATGCCATGGCAGAGTTCATCTGTGTCCATCTGTAGGAGGAGAGTGAGAGTGGTGGGCAGCTGAGTCAGCAGCTGGCTAGTTGCAGTCTGTGGGGTGCTGTAGGCCGGCGACCATGGGTGCTGTGGCCCGGCGTCAGGAGGTACTGAAGGCCCTGCGTCAGGGGGTACTGAAGGCCCGGCATCAGGAGGTGCTAAAGGCCCCGGCGTCAGGTGGTACTGAAGGCCCGGCGTCAGGGGGTGCTGAAGGGCCCAGCGTTAGGAGGTGCTAAAGGCCCGGCGTCAGGAGGTGCTGAGGGCTCGGCGTCAGGAGGTGGTGTAGACCGACGTCTGGAGGTGGTGTAGGCCGACGTCTGGAGGTGGAGTGGGCTAGGCGTTGGTGGGCGCAGTAGGGCCCGGCATCAGTGGGTGTTGTGGCCAGTGCATGTGGATGCTGCGAGCCAGCGACTGAGGGTGCTAAGGGGCCCAGCGTCTGTGGGAGCGGTAGGGTCCGGTGACCACAGGTGTGTTGTAGGGCCCGACGTCAGTGGGGGCTGTAGACCGTGTGGCAGGCTCGCCTCCGCCGGATTACACGGGTTCGGGGCTGTGTGGTGGCAGTGGCATGGTTGTGTGGTACACGGGGAGCAGGGAAGCAGATCTGGTAGCGTGGCTTACCCTCTTGGTGCCAGTGGCGGCTTACCCTCTCGGTGCCGGTGGGGTGGTTGCTGCTTCCCTTCTCTCTGCGGCGGCTGTAGGTAGGGGAGGCTGTGGACGGCGGCGTCCTGGTTCAAGCATTGGGCAGTAGCGTGGCTTTGATGCCAGTGTGTAGGCCGCAGGAGACAGGGAGCCCAGTACTCCTCCTGGACGATGGCAGAACCTCCGGAGCGGCTGGTGGGGTACCTACGAGGGGGTGGGGGTGGTGGCGTCCCCCTCTGGAGCAGGGGTTGCGTCCCCTCTGGAGCGGGGCGTCTCGGTTGGCCGCGGTTCTCCGCGGTTGGCAGGAAAGGCCACGGCTTCAGGGGCTGTGGTAGGCCGCGAATCGCCGGGGCTCTGCCGCGAGGGACAGAGCGCCCAGCACCCCTTCTGGGTGTTGGGAAGGACCTTCGGGGATGCTCCAGCCCGCTACTGGATTCAGTGGGGGCGCCGGAGCTGGCAATTATGCGGCCGCTCCGGACGCCATCTTGAAATCATGGTGTACTTTATATCATTAAAAAGCAGCCCTAGTACTCCAGTCAGTGCCATTTTTCATGCTAAGATGATTAAGGTAAAGTAAAGAAATGCAGCGCAACAATAAAATTATTAAATATTAAATAGTGCTTACAATCTTATACGTGCATATATAATGGTGATGTTCAGTCTGTTATGCTCTTGAGGATCAGTATACACTACTCATGATATCATACAATGCGTACGTCTAAGCTCCCATAAAGACACAAAATCAGTGCTATAAATAGTGCACACAAATACACAATCCTAAATAGTGATCTGTCCCCCTTAAATCCTTAAATCATATGACGTGGTCCTCCATTGTACACTGCTTGTATATGGTGATACAAAAATGGCCACAAAAAGTTTCAATCAAATACAGTCTTAATATTGATGGAATGTTCCTTTAAATCCAGTGTACTTTAAGTGAACCAGTGTAATCACATTGCTGCATAAAAGTGTACGGTGCTCTTGTGTCACCCCTTAGTGCTCTTCCACCTTCAACACACTATTGCACTCACCTTCAAGTCTGACCCATAATCACAGGTCAAACTGCGCCTTTCTCTTTAACCCGGAAGGGTATAATGATGCACAGATCTCCACCGCTGTATGCCAGCACTTTTAAGTAGATCCAGCTCGCTCCATATCCATGAAAAAGAATTCTCAATATAGTGTAGTATATTCTGCTAAAATCAGCCTTTATTAAAACAATGTATATTATACTCATATTAAAATGTGCCCTTCTGGGACACTACAGGGTTAAAACTCACTATACAGTGTATTTTGCCCAATGTGTATGGAAATCCCTCTTTCAAAATGGCAGCACGTCGACTTCCAGTTAGCGGCTTGACGTCATTGGCGTACTCTACGCGTTACGTCACATCACATCACTTCATTCAGGAAATAAATTCAGACCCTGGATGGCCCTTGAACAAAGATAGCTGTCAGGGCTCCCAGGTATGACCAGAGGTGTGTGACTGAAGCAGGGAAACGCAGACTTCAGATATGTGATTAACAATGTAATTTATTAACACTAACAATACAAACATAAACGCAGTGCAATACTAAACATAATACAGTGCAAACAAACCAAACCAACCACCCACAGATAACAGTACATACAAGCAAGCGTCGTCAGGCAGGCCGAGTCAATATCAATTGGGCAGGTAGGTACAGGGGGAGCAAGCGGAGAATGGTCGGGTCACAGGCCAGGTTCAGCAGGTAGCAAGCAGCGTAGTACAGAGGGTCAGGCAGAGGGGATGGTCAGGGGTCACAAGCCAGGGATCAGAACAGGTAGCAAAGGAACAGAAACAGGATGCAGGACAGATACAGGGCCCAGGACAAACACAACACCAAGGCAGAGTCTGCAAGTCTGGCCATCCCTTAAATACACCAGTATCATCAGTTCCAGGTGTTAGCTGGCTGAAAGGTTGAGTCTCTGATTGCTGGGAGCACCCGCTGGCCAGCCCTGGTACTGCAGATCAAAAGGCAGGTGAGTCCCACCATTGCTGGCCAGTCCATTCCTGACAGTACCCCCCCCCTCAAGGAGCGGCCTCAGGACGCTCCAAACAGTCCTAGCTGGGGGAAAAATGTTCCACCGCCCGGGTCTGGTAACTGGCGGGATATCAAAGACTGGCACACCGGGCAGGACTCCGGGCAGCGGTACACCGGGCAGAGGCACATCGGGCTGGACTCCGGGCAGAGGCACATCGGGCTGGACTCCCGCAGCGGCACATCGGGCTGGACTCCGGGCAGAGGCACATCGGGCTAGACTCCGGGCAGAGGCACATCGGGCTGGACTCCGGGCAGAGGCACACCGGGCAGAGGCACATCGGGCTGGACTCCGGGCAGAGGCACATCGGGCAGGACTCCGGGCAGAGGCACATCGGGCAGGACCCCGGGCAGAGGCACATCGGGCAGGACCCCCGGGCAGAGGCACATCGGGCAGGACCAGGCGAAGCGGCAGGCAGCGGGCCACCGGGCGGAGCGCGGCAGGCACCGGCCCCCGGCGGGGCGGAGCGGCAGGCACCGGGCCCCCGGGCGGAGCGGCAGGCACCGGGCCCCCGGGCGGAGCGGCGCAGGCACCCGGGCCCCCGGGCGGAGCGGCAGGCACCGGGCCCCCGGGCGGAGCGGCAGGCACCGGGCCCCCGGCGGGGCGACAGGCACCGGGCCCCCGGGCGGGGCGACAGGGCCTCGGGCCCCCGGGCGGGGCGACAGGCCTCGGGCCCCGGGCAGGGCGACAGGCATCGAGCCCCCGGACGGAACTACAGGTCTCGGGCCCTCAGGCGGAGCGGGCGGGTGCCGGACCCCCTAGATGGAGCGACAGGCGCTCGGGCCCCCAGGCGGGGCGACAGGCATCGGGCCCCCAGGCGGGCGACAGGCATCGGGCCCCCAGGCGGGGCGACAGGCATCGGGCCCCCAGGCGGGGCGGCGGGCGCCGGACCCCCGGGTGGGGCGACAGGTCTCGTGCCCTCAGGCGAGCGGCGGCGGGCGCCGGACCCCCAGGCGGTGCGACAGGTCACTCGGGCCCTCAGGCGGAGCGACAGGTCTTGGGCCCCCAGGCGGGGCGGCGGGCGCCGGACCCCCAGGTGGAGCGGCGGGCGCTGGACCCCCAGGCGGAGCGACAGGTCTCGGGCCCCCAGGCGGAGCAGCGGGCACAGAGTCACCAGGCACGACAGTGGGCTCCGAGTCAACTGGCATGACCGCTGGCACTAGGTCAGACATTGGATCGTCTGGCTGGACAGCGGGCATCGGGTCACCAGGCATCAGGTCATTTGGCTCGACAGCGGGCACCGTGTCATCTGGCAAGGCAGTGGGCTCCGAGTCAACTGGTATGACCGCGGGCACTGGGTATCAGACATTGGATCGTCTGACCGGACAGCGGGCATCGGGTCACCAGGCATCAGGTCATTTGGCTCGACCGCGGGCACCGCGTCATCTGGCAAGGCAGTGGGCTCCGAGTCAACTGGTATGACCGCGGGCACTGGGTCAGACATTGGATCGTCTGACTGGACAGCGGGCATCGGGTCACCAGGCATCAAGTCATTTGGCTTGACAGCGAGCACCGCGTCATCTGGCAAGGCAGTGGGTTCCGAGTCAACTGGCATGACCGCGGCACTGGGGCAGACATTGAATCGTCTGGCTGGACAGCGGGCATCGGGTCACCAGGCATCAGGTCATTTGGCTCGACAGCGGGCACCGCGTCATCTGGCAAGGCAGTGGGCTCCGAGTCAACAGGCACGACAGTGGGCACCGGGTCATCAGGTACCGGATTGTCTGGCTCGACAGCAGGCATCGGTCACCAGGTATGACAGCGGGCACTGGGTCACCCAGGCATCAGGTCATTTGGCTTGCCAGCGGGCACCACGTCATCTGGCAAGGCAGTGGGCACCGAGTCACCAGGTACGACAGCGGGCTCTGAGTCAATTGGCACGACAGCGGGCACCGGATCAGGTACCCGGATCATCTGGATCAACAGCGGGCATCGAGTCAACTGGCCTAATAGGATCGTCAGGCTGGATCAGTTCATCATGCTGGTAGAGGCATCAGGCTGAATGCCGGCGTCCGGCTGAGTAGAGGCTTCAGGCCGAGTAGAGGCTTCAGGCCGAGTAGAGGCATCAGGCCGAGTAGAGGCATCAGGCCGAGTAGAGGCATCAGGCCGAGTAGAGGCTTCAGGCCGAGTAGAGGCTTCAGGCCGAGTAGAGGCTTCAGGCCGAGTAGAGGCATCAGGCTGTATACAGCATCAGGCTGAAGAGAGGCATCAGGCTGAAGAGAGGCATCAGGCTGAAGAGAGGCATCAGGCTGCGTACAGGCATCAGGCCGAGTAGAGGCTTCAGGCTGAGTAGAGGCTTCAGGCTGAGTAGAGGCTTCAGGCTGAACCACGGAAGGCAGGCTCACCGGTTTGGATACTGGCAGGATGGTATTGGTTGGAAAGAATTTTCGCTTTTTTTTCTGGTTTTAACTACTGGAGCACTGCAAGTAAACGCAGGTCTGCAAACGAATGGAGCAGCTGGAGACAGAGAAAAACTGGAGGATGGAACAGGAGAGGGAGCAGTTGCTACAGAGGGCTTTTTTTACAGGGTTAAAGGCAGGATAGGTGCAGCGAGTGGGAACAGGGTACTGACATGCGGTAGATAGCCAAGTATACTGGGCTGTAACTGGAGGAGCTGTTGGGAATACAGGAGTAGAGTTAGAAGCAGGACTGGGTTTTTGTAAGCTGACAGAGGCTGGGTGCAACAAGTCTGTCCATGTCTGCAGTATGGGTTGAACAAAGCTGAGCTTACACAAAGCCTGTCTGGTCAATGACTGCACTGCGTTTATACAATCTTTTAGTGTCTGTGGTGAACATGTGGAATAACGCTCCAGAAAGTAACCCACATCATCCTCTAATAACCACACCAGGGACTCTACCTGGTCTGCACTAAATGGTGGCAAAAATTCATCCCCTGCATTCGGGGGTACCAATGAAACCAACTCTGCACAAACCTCAATCAAAGGCTGCACTTCAGAGAACTCTGTGCCCTGATCTACTAGAAACATGAGCGAGCCGTATACATTCTAGCAGTTCATCCCGGGTATATCTCCTTCAGAGTCTGATAAGCATACTCCCTGTCATCAAACACTAGCAGATATAAATACGCAACCTCATCCAGATCCATCCTTCCCATCAACAAGCCAAGATGGCTTCCCTGTGCAGCCACTTCTGGTCAGGATTGGCCTTGGTGTAATGTCAGGGCTCCCAGGTATGACCAGAGGTGTGTGACTGAAGCAGGGAACGCAGACTTCAGATATGTGATTAACAATGTAATTTATTAACACTAACAATACAAACATAAACGCAGTGCAATACTAAACATAATACAGTGCAAACAAACCAAACCAACCACCCACAGATAACAGTACATACAAGCAAGCGTCGTCAAGCAGGCCGAGTCAATATCAATTGGGCAGGTAGTACAGGGGGAGCAAGCGGAGAATGGTCGGGGTCACAGGCCAGGTTCAGCAGGTAGCAAGCAGCGTAGTACAGAGGGTCAGGCAGAGGGATGGTCAGGGTCACAAGCCAGGGATCAGAACAGGTAGCAAAGGAACAGAAACAGGATGCAGGACAGATACAGGGCCCAGGACAAACACAACACCAAGGCAGAGTCTGCAAGTCTGGCCATCCCTTAAATACACCAGTATCATCAGTTCCAGGTGTTAGCTGGCTGAAAGGTTGAGTCTCTGATTGCTGGGAGCACCCCGCTGGCCAGCCCTGGTACTGCAGATCAAAAGGCAGGTGAGTCCCACCATTGCTGGCCAGTCCATTCCTGACAATAGCACTGCCACTGCCACTGCTGTGAAGAGTAATAAATACATGTAATTCTTAAATTTACACATGCATGCAGCTAATATGAAAAATATATCTGAGTCTAGGTCTACTTTTTTGCATACTGTGACAGACCCAATCGGGACAGGGACTTTTGGAGGGGACTATAGGTTAGCCTCTTGCCTACTGACCATAGCCCTCACATATGAGGGGGTTCTATTCTTTGGTGTGTGCCTGGGGAGACCTTTGAAGCAGTCAATGCTGGTTTAGGCACACAGAACCCCAAATCTTTATCCTGGTCCTTAAATTTTCAGGGTTTGTGTTTTTTGGGGAGACATGGACTTAAATCCAAAGTAAACTGTTCCAAAGGTCCTCCCTGGCACACACACCAAAAACTAGAGCCCCCTCAGATACCAGGGCCATGGTCAGTAGGCAAAAGGCTAGCATGTAGTCCCCTCCAAAAGCCCCTGTCCCGGTTTGGTCTGTCACACATACAAAGCGGACGCAGTGTACAACACAAATCTGGTACTGGAAAGCAATATGCATGCTGAATCCTATTGTAGATACCTCTTAACTAAGAAAGTCCTGCTGCTCTACTCTTAGGTATGATACAGTAGCTATATTTAAGCTGTTGCAGTAGACACCTCTTTTTCATTGCAAAAGCAATTTGCAGTCTCTGAAGAGCCCAAAATACATTTGTGCAGTGAGTTAACATATGTTATGTCGTGTGTTATGTCACATTGCCTTGCTGCTCTTTGTCTAAAGTGCAGGTATCCTGTGGTTTCTGGGCGGATTAGCTGCACTTTCCCATAGACTTCCATTTTTTCCTATGGTTTTGGTGTGCTTTCTAAAATCGCCCCAAAACCACGGGACATAATGGAAGTCTATGGGAAAGCGCAACTAACCTGCTTGAAAACCACGGGGTGAGCTGTGTTTTTGCCCAAAGTGCAGCAGAGCAGTGCAAAGCTGCCCTCAATGTGCGTTGTGCCAAGGAAGCCCAAAAATCTGACATGCCACAAAATTTTTTTGCAGTGAAAAAAATCAATGGATTCACAATGCAGCAAGCTATATAATGTGCAGTGGCGTACATTGAGTTAACGTGTGTTCCCTCAACAGATAGATGTAAATGGGCCATTATAGACACATCTCCCCATGGCAGCAGGTGAGCTATTAGGGATCTTGGAAGAAATGCAGTGAGAAGACAAGAACTAAGTCTCCTTTCTTTCTATCTTTCTTTCTTTCTTTCTTTCTTCTTGATGTGCTGGCAAGACCTGGTTACTACAATGCCATAGTGTGAATGTGCCCTAAAATATATAACGTTTTCAATTCAGAATAACTTGTTTTCATGCTATACAAGACATAGTGAAAAATAAAATAAAATTGATCTGCATACACTTCATTTTCAATTCAGCTTTGAAGGGAAATAATGAAAAACAGCCTCCCACATATTGGCATGTATTAGCGATGTACTGGAACCGTTACTCTTGCTTGTTGTAATCCGTAAGGAAGCCGAGTGTTATTTATAGCTGTCATTTATATTCATTAATGTTGACTGCCACTTACAGACTTTTCATTCAGTAATAGCAGCCACTTAGTGACCCCTGTGTGAATTTACATACATAGCTTGCCAGAGGCACAAAGCGGCCTAACATCACCCTCAAGCTGGTAATAAATATTTGAAGATGTAAGCAGACTTATTGCTGTAAAGTATGCATTAAGACGTGTTACTTGAATCTATAGGCAAGTTTATAGACAGCAATCAATATGCGGTTAGGTCTTTATTATTGATGTGTTCCTTGTAAGAATGTACAGTTGTTGTAAGTTGTTGTTGGGAAAAAAAGCATTTGCTAAGAAAACGCAGGTTCAGCAGAACATTTATATAATATTTTTATAAATACTTATTTTCATTTTATGGCTTATAGAAATGCATGTCATAAATTTGCAAGCAGTGCTCTAGAGCATAATTCAGTGTGAAAAGTAATAAAAAAAAAATACAAATAATTATAATTCAATAGTTGCCAGTTCACCATATACAGTATGGACGTATGTGGTACATACACTATAATCCAAAAGATAAGGTGGGACTCATGGGGCTTGAATGGGGAACAGCTTATCACTGTGTATTCCCCTTTCAAGCCCCGTGAGTGCTGCCTTATTTTTCCAAAATATATATATATAATATATATATATACAGGTAGGTGAAACTCGAAAAATTAGAATATCGTGCAAAAGTTCATTTATTTCAGTAATGCAACTTGAAAGGGGAAACTAATATATGAGATAGACTCATTACATGCAAAGCAAGATAGTTCAAGCTGTGATTTGTCATAATTGTGATGATTATGGCTTACAGCTCATGAAAACCCCAAATCCACAATCTCAGAAAATTAGAATATTGTGAAAAGGTGCAATATTCTCGGCTCAAAGTGTCCCACTCTAATCAGCTAATTAAGCCATAACACCTGCAAAGGGTTCCTGAGCCTTTAAATGGTCTCTCAGTCTGGTTCAGTAGGAATCACAATCATTGGAAAGACTGCTGACCTGACAGCTGTGCAGAAAACCATCATTGACACCCTCCATAAGGAGGGAAAGCCTCAAATGGTAATTGCAAAAGAAGTTGGATGTTCCAAAGTGCTGTATCAAAGCACATTAATAGAAAGTTATGTGGAAGGGAAAAATGTGCAAGAAAAAGGTGCACAAGCAGCAGGGATGACCGCAGCCTGGGAGAGGATTGTCAGGAAAAAGGCCATTCAAAAGTGTTGGACACTTTCACAAGGAGTGGACTGAGGCTGGAGTCAGTGCATCAAGAGCCACCACACACAGACGGATCCTGGACATGGGCTTCAAATGTCGTATTCCTCTTGTCAAGCCACTCCTGAACAACAAACAACTCAGAAGCGTCTAACCTGGCTAAAGAAAAACAGACCTGGTCTGTTGCTCATCCTGTTTTCTGATGAGAGCAACTTTTGCATCTCATTTGGAAACCAAGGACCCAGAGTATGGAGGAAGAATGGAGAGGCACACACTGCAAGATGCTTGAAGTCCAGTGTGAAGTTTCCACAGTCTGTGTTGATTTGGGGAGCCATGTCATCTGCTGGTGTTGGTCCCACTGTTCTTCATTAAGTCCAGGGTCAACGCAGCCGTCTACCAGGAGATTTTGGAGCACTTCATGCTTCCTTCCGCAGACGAGCTT